CCGGCACTGGTGCCCTGGAGGGCGAGAGGCCGCGGGACGCATGTGCCCAGCAGCGGGTCTGGCACCGGTTTTGGACTCCCAGAAACCAGCCGCTTAGCCGGTACCCACCACCTGCCAGCCACAGCTTTTTGGAGCTAAAACCACCTGTTTTTCGGGGTTTTTTTTGTGGCAGGGGAGAGAGGTGTTTTTGTGGCGGCGCAGAGAGCTCCAGCCCCGCAGCGGGAGCGCTCGGCTGCGGTAACGCCGCGGCTTCCTGGCAGGCGGCAGGAAAAATAAACACCATTAAAAAAATGGAACATCCCCATAACCCGAGGTGACCGGCCGCGGCGGCGCAGCCGTGCGGGCGGGGAGGGCGAGCCCCGGGGAGGGTGTTCCCGTTCCCGTTCACCCCTGCCCGGGGGATTTGGGGTGATACGGAGCGAGGTGGCACCTCGGCGCGTGGAGGGGGTCAGGGCTGGCCGAGACACCCCTCCGAGCTCTGCTGTCCCGTGGTTTGGTAATTTGCTCGTTTGCTTCTGCTTCGGGAGCTGCGTAGATGGCCAGGGTTGGGTGCGGGTCGGGTTTTATTCTGGGAGCGGTGAAATTGTCTCGTGATTCCAATGATGTGCCTGAGGTTTTCCCCTCCTTTGCTTTTGGGGCAGCAGGACTCTGTCCTCTTGTTTTGCCCTTAATACTGTCCCGGGGGGTGGACAAATGAGTTTGCCAAAGGTCAGTGGTTGGGTTTTGAGTTAAAAGTTAAAAAAAACAAATGTTGTAACACCAGAAACATCAAATGGATTTTTAAGGTTAAAAATGTTAGAAAAGGGGAAGACCAGAGTATGCCAGGTGATTAAAACCAGCCCAGGGACTGTGCCTGCAATTGAGAAATGCCCCCGTGACCCCTCACCTTTGAGACTCGGCAGTTCCCAGCTCCGAAATCGGGTGCTGCTCCGAAATCGGGTGCTGCTCCCCATCCACGCCCACTTGGATGCGACGGGGCTCGCGTCAGGCCTGGTCCCGGCAGAGGGACGGCTCCTCGCCACGCAGCTTGTCCTGCGCTGAACCCGTTACGGGATTAAGCCTGAAGTCGCACGGCGGGGCAGAAGTCCCCCGGGACACGCGGCAAGAGCTGATCTGCGGAGATAACGAGGGCAGCGAATATTGCTGGGCTTCAGCTTTTCCTCCCCGGGCCTCTTTGGGACAGAAAGATCCCGGGGATGGCTGGAGGTGATGCCAAAGGGGAAGAAAACATTGAGATTTTGGGGATAAACTACCCTGGGAAGTCGCTCTCTGGGTGAGCCCAGCAGCAAACCGCTTTTATCAGGCGTATTTTGACCCTCATCCCAAATCCCAGTTAGTTTAAGCCTTTATGTTTGACGCAATTAATGAGCAAATATCTGTTTTATTTTCTGTTTCAACATTCAGGCTTTGCATAATGTTAGGAAGCGCGGCTGCTTTTCTTCTATTTTGGGGGGGAGTCCCTTTTTTCGCAGAAGGTGGACGGACGCGCTCCCGGGAAGCAGCCGCCGGGTGAGTCATGTCCGCGCAGAAATAGCTCTGCTGGGAGCAGTGACACGGACCCGCAGGGATTTCGTTTCTCCCTACCCCGGATGGAGCCGGCTGCTCCGTCCCACGCCGCTAGCGGGGTACCTGCCCTCCGCTAGCGGTGTACCTGCCGGCTCCTGGCTGGATTTAACGGGGGAATTTAGGGCTGGGACATTTGCGAAGTATTTTTTTTTCTCGTCTCTGCTCCCCTCCTGCGCGGGGCAGAGAGGGTTTGAGGTGGCTGCGGCCAGACCCCGCAGCTCAGCCTACTTGTCTTCAGCTGGAGAGGATGAGCGCGGGTTTATTGAGTCGTTCCTAACGCTGGTATCTCCCTTTTCTGTGTCACGAGGGGAAAAACAGCACGTGGGGGAAGGACATAATTTTCCCAGAGGCCCATGGTGAGAAGTCCCACCCTGGACCTTTATTCACTAAATAAAGCTGGCTTAGATTTTAATTTCTCCTTTGTGTAAAAGCTGTGTGCATTTTGATGCAATTAGTAGCAGCTTTGGGGACGGCTGAGAGCAGAAGGCGGCTCCTGCGGGAGCGTGGCCGGGATGCTCCGATCTCCTGCCGGGGCAGCGGTTGTCCAAGCTGACTTCACGAATTACCATTTTTCCTTAGAAATCCTTTGGAAAATGGTCCGGTGGCCTCTCTTCTCCCTCGTGAGCCACGACGGGGAAGCAGCCAGCGAGGTGCAGCAGCGGCGGCAGTGCCGGGACACGGGGGCAAGGAGCCTGGTAGAGCAACTGATTTTGTTTTCCAGCTCTTGGGAGCGGCTGGATTTATCCCTCCTGGGGCTGTTGGTGTCCACGGTGCTTCGGGGAGATGCCTGGGAGGTGGGGAGGGGAGGCAAGAGCTCACGAGGAGCTCCGCTGAGAACAAGACGATGCGAGATCAGTGCGGCTGATGCTGTTTCCGACCGCGTGCTGGTCAGCTCTCGAAGGAGACGGAGCTAAAATAAGCCAAAAGAGACCAAACTGGCTTTTCCCCAGCTTACAGGTCACTTTTTTATGTGCGTAGGAAAACTTTAATGCAGGAGAGGTGGCTAGATGGAAGGTGTTTGAGGAACCTCAGCTGAAAAGTGCTAAAGGGACGATAAATTGCGTAGAGGTTGCTCTTCAGGTCTTGTTTGACCTAATCTGCCCCAAATTCAAGACGTGCTGTTAGCCTTTCCTGTTGTGCAAAATGCAAAAACCTTGGGCCCAGAAGAGCTTTCTCGGGGTGGGTTGGCTCCCCACGTCCACCAGCTACCCCTAATTCTGTCCACAGGGATAACC